AGAGCAGAGTGCTCTGGCATACTTCAGAGTGGTTTGTTTTCCTCTCCTCCAGAAGCGCAAGGGGATTGTTCTTCAGTATTTACTGAATACCTGGTCAAGTCCCTGAAGGTAAATCTCACAAAACTGTGGAGGGTCCCAATGACTGGGTCCCCCTGGAGTTTGTCCACACTGAGCTTCCAGCAATCTGTCAGTTACAGTTCAGACTTTCCTACCACATCTCACAGTAGCTTCCATTCCTGAGACCCTGCTCCCGTGGGCTGTATTTGTCTGTCTCTCCCAGTTCTGGGAGAGCACTCTGCCCTTTGTCCTACCCCTAGGATTTTACAGAGCCTAGAATAGCTGTTGACTTTTCAGTCTGTTCAGATTTGTACTTGTTGTTAGGACAGATTGGTGACTTCTAAGCTCCATAGATGCAGAATTGGAAACTGGAAGTCCTTAATTTTTTTTTTTTTTTTTTTTTTACAGTGAATACAGGCTTATTTCATAATCAGAAAATTAACTAATTTTATTTTGGAATTTTGAAAAATGAAAACTTAGAAATTGTAGACAGACAAGAAACAGTTCTCTGTAATTATCATTAAAGATCCTGATATTTAAAAATCTACTATTTTAATTCCATTTAACATCACGCGTGCAGGCGCATACACACACACACACACACACACACACACACACACACAGAAAGACAAAAGAAGATCTGTGAATGATACAGAATGGCAAAAGCCTAAGTGAGAATAGTTCATATTTTCTTAACCACATGACTAAGGATTTTACCACATCTTCATATAAAGAGGTAATTAAGGTTAACCTCAAAATCATATTGTATTCTTAAAACTCAATCTTAAAAACACAAATAAACCAATTTAAAATGGGCAAATGATGAGTAGACAATTTCTCTAAGAATATATGCTAGGCCAATAAATTCATGAAAAGATGCTCAATATCATTAATTGTTAGTGAATTGCAAATCAAAACCCAACAAAATACTACTTCCCATCTACTAGGATGGCTATAATAAAAAAGAAAGACAATAACAAGTGTTGACAAGAATATGGAGAAATTGGAACCCTCAAACATTGCTGGTAAGAATGTGAAATAGTGCAGCTGCTTTGAAAACAGTTTGGCAGTTCCTTAGGAAGTTTATCATAGAGATACCGTATGGCCCAGCAAATCTAAGGCTAGGTATTTACCCAAGAAAACTGAAAAACATATGTCCATATAAAAACTTGCACACAAATGTTTATTGTAGCATTATTTATAATAGCCAAAAGGTGGAAACAACCCAAATATCCACCAGCTGGTGAACAGATAAACAAAATATGGTATATCTATACAGTGTAATATTATTCATTATAATATGAGGTACTAATACTTGCTAAATATGGGTGAAATCTTGAAGATATTATGGTAAGTTAAATAAGCCAGACACAAAAAGCCATATGCTGTATGATTTTATTCACTTGAAATACCCACAACAGGCAAATCTACAGAGACAGAAAGTAAATTAATGGTTCCTAAACACCGAGGGGAGGAATGAGGGGAGACAGGGGTCTCTTTCTGGGGGGTTAATGTCCTGGAATTAGATAGTGATGATAGTTGTACAGCTTTGTGAATGTACTAAAGTCTGCTGAATTCTACACTTAAAAACAAATGAAAGGATTTGGAGATTTAAAAAATACTTTTTATGTCTTTTTTATTGCATAAATACATTATATTCTAAAAAATATCCTGCAAATTATACATATGCAAAGAAGTTAGTGATCAAGTGTCCTACCATTCATATGTTCTATTAATGTTTTGTTTTACATCCTTCCAATTTTAAAAAATCCTTTTTTAGCCCTGGCCGGTTTGGCTCAGCGGTTAGAGCGTCGGCCTGCGGTCCTGAGAGACCCGGGTTCGGTTCCCGCTAAGGGCATGTACCTCGGTTGCAGTTTTTCCCCTGCCCTGGTCGGTCGTGCGGGTGGCAGCCACTCGATGTGTCCCTTTCACATCGATGTTTCTCTCTCTCTCTCTCTGTTCCTCTCTCTCCCTCCCACTCTATCTGAACAAAAAATGGAAAAATGTCCTCGGGTGAGGATTAAAAAAAAAAAAATCCTTTTTTAAATTAATTAATTTTTGTTACAGAAATTTCTCCCTTTTCCCCCATTGACACCCTCTTTAAAAATCCTTTTTATTTCATGAAAAAATAAAATAAAAATAAAGACTTTTAAATGTCAAATATTTCTTTTTAGGCTACTGCTCAGCTGTCATCTTGAACCTCCCTCTGCTGTTATGCTGGGAATTCCCTTTGCCATTCTCGTGGTTATATTTCCTGCTTCCTTGATCTCACGTCTTCCTCTTTCTTGCTTTAATGCCGTGTTTGGAGGAGATGATGGACAGACAGAGGAACACACCACACTGCTGCATTCCAGATTGGTGACCCTCTGCCCTGTTACACAGATGTCATCCTCAGATCTCGCTTTGCCATCACCCTCAGGAATCCCTAGTTTCTTTCACTCTTGTGTTGGATCTCCAGTTTCCTTTATATTAAGTCTCCTTGTTCTTAGTTTAATCCCTTCTTTTGGTATAGCACATCTCCCAGTAGATTCCTGAAAAGGGGGGGGGGTAGATGTATGGAAGGCAAATTTTTTGAAACTTTGAGTAGTTTAAAAATGCCTTTAACCCGGCCAGTACAGCTCAGTGGTTGAGCATTGCCCCATGCATCAAGAGGTCACCGGTTCGATTCTCGGTCAGGGCACATGCCCAAGTTGTGGGCCAGATCTCCAGTGGGGAGCATGTGGGAGGCAGCCAATCAATGTTCTCTCTCATTGATGTTTCTATCTCTCTCTCCCTCTCTCTTCCTCTCTCTCTCTAAAATCAATAAAGAAAAAAAGTTTTTTAATGCCTTTATTCTGTGCTCACGTTTGAATGATCATGTGGATACAATGGCATTTTTAGGTTCCGAATTTTTAAGGGTGTTGCTTATTACCTCTGCTTCTGGTGTTAGCACATGGCAAGCCCCTCCAATCTGGAAAATCATGTACTTCAGTCCGGGAAGTTTCTTGAATCATTTCATTGGCAATTTCCTCCCTCCATTTTCTGTTTTCTCATTCTGGAATTTCTGTTATTTGGCTTTTGGACCTTTTGGACTAGTCCTCTTATTTTTATCCTATTTTCTTTGTATTTTTGCTTTACTTTCTAATGGCAAGAGTTCAACTTTATCTTTTATCCCTTCTTCCTTTTACTATCACATTTTTAATTCCGGAAGCACTGGTGTTCTCTGAATGTTCCCTTGTGTGGATGTGTTTTGGGGGAGTACATATAATGTCTTATTCTTATTTCATGGATACAGTATATTCTCTTTCCTCTCTGACATATTACTCATAACGGGTTTCTTTAAAACAAAAAAAGTTTTTTCCCTGGCCGGTTTGGCTCAGCGGTTTGAGTGTCGGCCTGTGGTCCAGAGATTCCCGGGTTCGGTTCCTGCTAAGGGCACGTACCTCGGTTGCAGTTTGTCCCCAGCCCTGGTTGGGTTGTGTGGGTGGCAGCCACTCAATGTGTCCCTTTCACATCAATGTCTCTCTCTCTCTCTCTCTCTCTCTCTCTCTCTCTCTCTCTCGCTCCCTCCCTCCCTCCCTCCCACTCTATCTGAACAAAAAATGGAAAAATGTCCTCAGGTGAGGATAAAAAATAAATAAATAAATAAATAAATAAATAAATAAATAAATAAATAAAAAAGTTTTCTTCGGCCTATTTTCTTCAAGTTGCTTTTTTGTTTGTTTGTGTCTCTATCTTTCAAATGCGAGACTTTCCTCAGATGTCTGGTGTTCTTTGCTGACTGCTCATGATTAAGAGTTGGGAACTGGAAGGCTGTTTGAGAACTCTGAACATGTAGGTTGGACTTGATAATCCTAAGCCTCACTGCAGGGTGATCTCGGCAGCCCATTTGTCGGGGAAGACCCATCTTTAGGTATTTCCTTTGGCCCAATAAGCCAGAGAGTTTTCTTCCTCTCACCTTCCAAGAGGGTAGAGGACTATGCCATCATTCTGGGATGAAGGGGAAGGCTAGAAGTTTCTACATTTAGGATTCTGAAAATGTAATTAATAACCCTGTTTTAGGCATTCACTGTGCCTGTCAATCCAGTAACAGCCCCAGTTCCAGAAGAAGCTGGGACTGCTTGTTCCTGAGACTTTGGCTTTGGTTCTTAGCTACCCCAGCACTGGCTTAAGATGATTCTTTCCTGGGTTTAGGAGGAAAAATTCTGGCAGAAAACATGACAACAAGGATCAAATCTTAGCTTTGACATTTCTAAAGTCTAAACCCTAAAAGACCCAGGATGTAAAATTTGTCATTATGCAAGAAAAACTATTTAAAACTTGGGAATAAGGCAAAAAAGGGATGGCTGCATGACATTTCTAAAAAGTCTGTGAAGAGTCATCTGAGTCACTCAAGGAATGTCCCTTTGGTTGTGGCCCAGACATTTTATAACCCTGGTAAGTTAGACATTAACTTGTAGAAAAATGAGAAGGTACAAAGGTATCCCGGGGAAGACTGGTGAAGAGGATAACCCCAACACGCGTCTATAGAGCACTGACTGTTTAGCCATCTTGTTTCAGCACTTTGTTCCCCACTAATTATACAATCCCTGTTTCTCAAATTTTCTTCCAACCAGCTCTTGTCTTGCTGCTAGTTCCTTTATTAACGAGTTAATACATTTTTTGCATGAGTTTGCCATCTGTATGTATGGGAATTATGGTTTTTAAAATGAATTTATTGGGGGTGACACTGGTTAACAAAATTATACAGGCTTCAGGTGCCCAATTCCACAACACATCATCTGTACACTGTATTGTGTGTTCACCACCTAGTCAATTCTGGAAATTATGTTTTTTAACAGTTTGAGAATTGTACAGTTACACCATCGATTAAAGATCTGGAAGAACAGCGCCAGTAATGATCCCTTGTTTTTCCTGACCTTTCTCCCCAGATTAGATTCTGCTTTCCTGCGCTGGGAGAGAAGAGAAAAGTCAGAGGGAAGCCAAAGAGCTTATAATCTGAAAGAGATCTGAGCTACAGAATGTAAGTAATTTACTTTTAATAACAAGTGGATCATACTGTACTTACTGCTGCATATTGTACTAATAATATAGCATGAACATTTTTATAGGTCAACAACCAGCTCTTCTAAAATAGGATTGTTTGTTGCCACATAGCCTTCCACCATGTGAGCTAGTTTAATGATTTAGAAAAAGTCTGTGTCCATCTGGTAGGCACAATCAGTCTCAATTATTTTAGTTATTAAATTCTGAGTTAAAAGAACATCTTCAAGTTAAAAGAAACACTTGTAGTCAAGGACCTAGTGACCTGAGTTGGTAACACTAAGTTATCTTCTCTTTCAGAAACCCCTTGATGAAGCTGGTCATGTTTCATTCTGGCTGGCCATACTAGGGCAACACTGATGTGACTCCTTGCAAAAAGAGCTCTAGGAGTGGAAGACAGTAAGTTCAGGGAGCCTCCCTAATGCATGTCTTTAGTAACAGCAAAACCTAGCTCTCTGCCCACCCCTAGCTCTGTATTCACGCAGCCCAAGACCAAGAGGCAGGGATGTGCCAGCTACCTACAGTCTGGTGTTGGGCTCCCTTCAGCCTATAAAAAGAAAGTAATAAGTGGGCCTGCTTGAAAGGGCATTGGGGAAACTGCTCTGGGCTTCTGCAGAAAGGAGTCCTAACATGCACAGAAATACCAATGTCTAAAGAACCCCAACCCCCTAGTGGTACCTGGAATTCCCTCATCAACCCCCAAAATTGTACTTGTGGGCAGAAGTCTCAGAGTTGATCAATTATTGTTTCCTGGGAGGCTGGTTTTAATTATGCCCTATTTCTTTGGGGAGCTTACATTTACCACAAATCAAAGTTCCACCTATTAAAATCTATGTCGGAATTTGAGAGAGAGAGAGAGAGAAGAACAGTGTGTTTGGATCAAACAGTAGCACATTTGGATCAATATAATTTGATTAAAACAAATTTATAGTTGTTCTTGCTACTTCATGCATTTTATTCTAAAAATCAAGTACTTATAATATATTCAACAAGGTCACAAACACTTTTTTATTTTTAATGTGCCCTTGACCAGGAATTGAACCTATGACCCTTCCATCTGAGGGCTGATGCTCTAACCGCTGAGCCAAACAGGCTGGAACACCAAAGACTTTTAAAAAGATTGTTCTAATGATAGAAACAAAAAACAATCTGCTTTTTTTGCTAAAAAATTAAATTTAATGTTGGTCACATTGGTTAATAGGGTTATATGGGTTTTGAGTGTACATTTCTGTGATACACGCTCTGTATATTGCATTGTGTTACCTCCACCCAAAGTCAAATCATCTTTCACTACCTCTAGTTTCTTTTTATAAGAGCATAAAATGTCATTCCCCCCCCCCCCGCCAAGTGTTTAGAGAAAAATAAGTATTTACAATATAAATCTTGATAATCAATTATAGGTGAAAAATGTGACCATTGTCCTGTTATTTTATTGTTTAACAGTGTTGCATTATATTCAAGACACATTATCTTCATTAGTTGAAAGAACAAAATTAGAATCACATGGGGACTCTGTTGGTAATTCATTTAATTTCCTGTTTTCTATCTCTCGGTGACTTCTGAAGGGGGGCTGTTTTAAATTTTTCCCTTTTAAATGGCCCTAGGAGCACAGAAAACATCTATTTTAATGCTTTGTGGGTTGGAGAGAGGACTGCATTGCACAAAACCTAACTACCATTGCAAACAGGGACAGGACAAAGGAGCCGAGCGAGAGAGTTGGGCAGGGCAAAATTGTGGGTTTAGGGAACAGAGGATAGCTGCTCATCTGCTTCCTAAAAAAGTAGCGATGATGTGTTTTCCATGTGTTCAGTGCTAGAATGAGCGAAGTCTGTTTGTCTTAAGTGGGTCGGAAAAATAACATCAACTTCAGAAACTAATCCATGATAATATGTATAACTTGTATGCGTCAGAAAATCAAAATGATCCCACCATTAGGGGTTCTCAAAACTAAGATAGCTCTTTCCCCCACTTGTAAAGGAAAACCTGGACCAGCCAACGGAGCAGACTTCAACCTTCCAACGCTTCCCTTCTAGCCCCCGAACCTTCCCAGCACAGATCCTGAAGAATGAGACAGTTGGCGTTGGTCACAGAGGCAGTTGAAATGAATAAAACAGCTTTACCCTGGATTCCTGGATACCTGTGCAATGCATTCCCGGAAGACTCTAGGCTTTCCAGGAGGTAGGACCCAGCCCTTTTCCCTTACTTTCCTCCAGGAAAAGGGAGGAATCCGGGCACTGCTGGGAACATTGTGTCTCCATTCACAAAGGAGAAACCCTTGCAGAGGTGAACTTCCATGATCATATTAGCAAATGTATTATACCTTGTGAGGGACAGTGGTCTCGTCTGGGTTTGAAGTACGAAAGTTGTTTATTCCAAGGGCACTGTCATCTTTGCTAAGTATAGAACAAGGAGATATATCCGCCCTCATCTTTAATCCGCCCCACTTAAAAAAGAATTGAAATACAATTAAAGGGCACATGTTCAGAGAATCTCATTTTGGAGACTATGCAATGAAATTTTCTCCTTCATGAAAAGAATATGTTCTGTTTTTTCCATTATAAATGCTTTAGTTCCTGCCAAACCTCTTCTTATCCCAAATGTCTTAGAATATCTTGGTATAACACAGTGGAGAGAGGGCATCACAAACACTGTGTTATAATTTAATTCAATGTATACTCATTGAGAACAGTTATACTAAGAATACCTTGCTGAAATCCTCTACCCTGTCACCCATAAAATAGCTTTTCTAAAAATTTTATCTTTATTGTTGAAAGTATTACAGATGCCCCCCCCTTTTCCCCCATTGACCCCTTCTACCCACTCCCAAACCCCTCCAGGCCTTCATCACACTATTTTCTGTGTACATTGTTTATGCCCTCCTCCCTGACCTCTGAAATTCATCAGTCTGTTCCCTGTTTCCATGTCTCTGGATCTATTTTGTTCTTCAGTTTATTTTATTCATTCAATTCCACATATAAGTGAGATCATGTGATACTTGTCTTTCTCTGATTGGCTTATTTAATTGAGCATAATACTCTCCAGGTCCCTCCATGCTGTCTCAAAGGGTAAGAGACCCTTCTTTTTTTATAGCTGCATAGTATTCCATTGTGTAAATGTACCACAGTTTTTTTATCCACTCATCTACTGATGAGCACTTGAACTGTTTCCAGATCTTAGCGATTGTAAATAGCACTGCTATGAACATAACTTTTGATGCTAGGGATCTTACTTTTTAATTCTCTCGTTAAATAAGACAATATTGTTTCCATTTGGAGTTTGCCATGGGCACACTGGGCTAGAAGTGGAAAGTGTGGTCAGTCTTTCTCATGCTGGAGCAGATTCTCATGGCCCCTTCCTGGCAGCACCAGTCTGGGCATTTGGCTGCTCTTAGGGACCACACAGAGGGGCCAGCCTGACTGCATTACTTCCCAAGGCTCGGTGGTCATGAAAAACCTAGAGGGCAGGAGCTCCCAGTGCCTGCTGTGAAGGGGTAGTCAGTGAACGTAAAATGTTGAGATAAACACCTTAGGGTCTAAAATCTCAAGATCTGAATGATCAGTATTCACTTTATTGGCTGTTAAAATAGACTCATCCTTTCGGGTACTGGCTCACAGAAGGTGAGAGCTTGAGTCTTCATGTAGTAGAGGATGTGTTTAAGCCAAGCAAAGCTATGTTCTTTTCCAAACATGCTCATTTCAAATGTACTGTTCTTTTCTTTTTTTTTTTTTTTTTTTTTTTAGTAGTTTCTGTTTCTCCTTGCATTTTCTTAATAATTTGAACAGAAGGGCTTCTCTTGAAGCCTCCATCTAGCACCCATGCTTTGCACACACCCCAGGCCATGTCTCCCACCTCTAAATCTATGTCTGGGTCCAAAACTGCCTTGGGCTACCTCCACACCAGCTCACATACATGGAACTAATTTTTATTTATCTGTTTCTGGCACCCAAGGTGGGAATTATGCTTTTGTCCTTCAAACTCATTTTCTTTCTTAAATGTTTTTTCTTTATTGATTTTTATTTTAATCCCCACCTAAGGATATTTTTTCCACTTATCTTTAGATAGAGTGGAAGGGAGGGAAGGGGAGAGAGAGAGAGAGAAACATCGATGTGAGAGAGACACATCGACTGGTTGCCTCCCACACAACCCAGATCAGGGCCAGGACAAATCACAACCGAGATACATGCCCTTGGCTAGAATCAAACCTGCGACTCCTTGGTCTGCAGGCCGATGCTCTAACCACTGAGAAAACCAACCAGGGCTCTTTATTGATTTTTAGATAGAGCGGAATGGAGAGAGAGAGAGAGATAGAAACATCAATGAGAGAGAACATCGATTGGCCACCTCCTGCATGTCCCCCACTGGGGATTTGGCCTACAATCTGGGCATGTGACCTGACTGGGAATCGAACCAGTGGCCTCTCGGTGCATGGGCCAACCCTCAACCACTGAGCCACACTGGTTGGGTTGAACTCATTTTCTTAATTTTTATACTTTAGTGCTTCTATGCATGTGTTGGGGGAGAGGGGAGGCATAGCTACATCAGCTCAGGTTCTCCTTTCTGCAGGAAGTTCCTTCTATCTTCCTTACATTGTGGGAAAATGTTCTATTAAGTTCAGAGACCTTGTAAGAGTAATGTCTGATCATTAAGGAATGAATTGCGAAAAACTAATATAGCTCAAATTGCACAGACTGAATTTATATTGATCATATAAACTGTTTCTTCATCCTAGAATTCAAAAGCTATTGCTCTCCTCACCCACTGGGTACCATTATTTACAAGAAGAATTCTATTTCTTAGAAGCATTGGCTTTCTATCACTGGAAGGGAACGTCAGCTTCCCGCAAGGCCAGGCTGCTAACAGGTGAGTGGCTCTGGCCAGGTGTGAGACCAGAGGAGCAGTGCAGACTGTAGTAAAATGAAGACCTCAAGCCCCATCTAGATCTTAAAGAACTACTGAGGTCTAAAACAAACCATAGGCAGGCTGAATTCAACCAGAAGCACACCAGCTTACCAGCACTAATTAGTCGAATTTTCCTCATTATGTAGCAGGAAATGAAATTTGGACTGAATGAGTAATTTTGCCCAAGGTCACATAATTACTTAGTCAAGACTAGCCCAGCCTCGGGATTCTAATTCCAAGATTGGCGCCTTTTCCCCTTACCCCATGCTGGCTCGGGTACTTAAAACACCCCATTTGAAAAAAAAAAAATAGGACCAATCACGTGTTGCTGTGATTAAATTAAATGTGCCCAAGCTCCTTGGCCCCAGTTTTCTTTAACAACAAATTTTGAACAGGTAAGGATGGGTTGGTCAGAAGCGGGAGCAGACAGGCAGGCCTGGGCCTATTTTAATGGAAAGGCTGGAGGACAGTTGCATAAGTGTGCAGCTCGGGTTTCCTCACCTTAGCAGTGAACCTTATCAACCGCAGAAAGCCTTGCAAATCACTGAGCAAGTCAGAATCTCGACCTGTCTCACTGAGGGTGCCAGAATTCCTGACGCCACCACTTGCTAGTCACAGGGTGGCTGGAGGCCATATGTTCACCTGCAAAGCACCCTGAGCAATGTTTTGGACCCAGCTAACAAAGCCCAGCTGGAATCGCTTCTGACACACAGACCTCGCCAGCTACTGTGTGTGACCTATGTAGGGGCCAAGATTTGCTTTTGACCTTTCAGTGGCATTATGTCTGTGTTGAAGGAATTCAATTATGCAGAAAAAGCACAGCGTGCTATGACAGCCAGAACATGCTTTTGGAACTAGACAGACCCACTTGAATGCCCTCTCTGCTGTGTCATTCATTCAGTCAACAAATACTTCCTGACTGCCCACTATGTGCCAGGCACTGTTCTAGGCCCCAAGGAGACAATGGTAAACAAAACAGGAAAGTCCCTGCCTTCATAAGGTTTACATTTCAGTTGGGGGAAACTGGCAATGAATATATACAATTGATCCTTGAACAACAAAGGTTTGAATCGCATGGGTCCACTTGCATGCAAATTATTTTCAATAAATCCTTTTGTATGCCTGGGTTTCCCATTCATGGATTCAACAAACCATGGATTGAAAACAGTAGTTTTGATGTGTGGCTGGGAATGCGCAGAGGTAGAGGGCCGTCTATATTCATTGTTCTACACCATTTTATACAACAGGTTTTGTAATCCCAGGGGTCCTGGAACCAATGCCTATGGATACCAAGGGACAATTGTAGTTAAGTTTTGAGGAAGTCAAAAGTTACATGTGGACTTTGACTATGTGGGGGTCGGGATCCTGTCCCCCACGTGTGCAGGGGTCAACTTGAATTATAAAGTATAATTTAATAGTAATTAAATTAATAGCTTATTAGAAGGTGATGGGTGCTAGAGATAAAATTCAGTAGGAACAGAAAGTGGAGAGTACAATTTAAATAGTATGTTCAGGGAAGCCTCACTAAGCAGGTGACATCTGAGCAGACTTGAAGTGGTTAAAGATGTGAACTATGAAAATACTTGGGCTTGGGCTTCTGTGCAAAGGCCCTGAGACTGGAACATGCATGGAGGGTTCAAGGAACAATGAACCCTATCTTGATGGAATAGGGTGGGATGAAAGTGGTGGAAGATAAGTTGATAGAGGCAATGAAGGGTAATCAGGCCACTGTAAACATTTACCTTGAGTGGAATGGGGTGCCACTGTGGGATATATTTTGAAGAATTTTCTGATGCATTGAATGAGGACTCAGAGAAAAAGAATAGTTAAGATTGATCCCAAGGTTCTTGGCTTGAACAGTTGGATGGATGGAGGTGCTGTTACCCGAGACAGGGTGGCTTTGGGAGGAGCTGGTGGGGGCAGCATCAGTTCATGTTTGGAAATGTTAAGATAAATAAAGAGTTATATAGGAGTCTGAGGTACATGAGAGAGGCCTGAATGAGAATATAATTTTGGTATTTAAAATTGTGAGAATCAATGATATCACTAAAGAGTGATGGTAGGGAACAGAAGAGGTTCCAGGAGTGAGCCTGGGGACATGTCAACACTAAACATGCAAGCTGCCATGAAGGAGCCAGGTGGCTGCAGGGACATCTGGCTTTGGACCTGGTCACTCATTGTCTCAACTGCTGGCAGTTAACTACCCCCCCCCCCCAAAATTGTCATCAGATGAAGAGGGCAAATGCACCCAAGTTTATTCCAGGAACAACCTGGATTCAGTAAGTGGTCAATCTAGGGGTTCAAAGCCCCCTACTTTGCCTCAGTTCAGAACAACACTGAAGGACCTTCCCAGCAGCAGAGTGCTGGGGCATCACCCGAGACCCTGATACGTCTGCTTCTCTGCTCAGCCACTCCTTCCGCCCCGGCTGTTGCCTCTCCATCCTCATAGGTGGGGTTCCTAAGAGCAAACCTGTGTGCAGATCTCCTTCTCAGTCAGTTTCCTGGGGATCTGCCCTAAAACAGGGCCTCTGGGCATAGCGATTGCTCTTAGAGTCTCCACATTTGTAACGCGGTGGTAATTATACCGCTTGGCGGGATTACTGTAGGGAGAAGAGACCTTGTATGTGAAGTGCCTAGAACGATGCCTGGTTAATAGTCGGCACTCAGAACTCGCAGTTACTCTATTGGAATCAGATTTTCACTGTTCTACCTTCTCAAACCCTCCAAAAGATTAGAAAAGGTGCCGTCATCATGCTTAGGATGGCTATCTGTCCTTTCTCTGAACACCCAGACTACGTTCAGGTCTTTCTTTTATGTGCTCCAACAGCACCCTCCACCTTTCACATTAAAATGACAGATTTCAGTGTTCTACATTGTAACTGTACATTTACTTTTGTCCCACGCCTCTTCACTGTGCGTTCTATGCCTGTCTCGTTCATGATTGTCTCTCTAGGGACTAGCACATTTTAGGCACTCCATAAATACGTATTGGATTGAACTGAGTCAAGTTGAACTGAACTGAAGTGATACCTGCCTGAGTTTATGGACTAAGGCCAGACTTACTTTGGTTTTCATGGGGAATTATATACCTGAGTGAACTTTATAAGGAATTTGGTTTTTATCCTGTGAAGCCCAGAGAAGACTACATATCTGCCAATCCTTTTATCTACCCATCAACTCAAAGAGTGTTTCTCGAGCACCACTCTGTGCCAGGTATTAGAACCAGAGTAAAAAGCAAGATCTGATGGTCAAGGCCATACAAAAGACAATGAACAATAAATAAACAAAACGATTAAACAACTATGAAATCTACTGTTTAAAAAAAAAAAAAAAACGGAGCGAGAAGAGCAGAGGGACCTCATTTAGACAGTGATCGGAGACTTCTCTGAGGAGAGGACATTTAGGGTGAGACCTAAAAAGATAAGTAGAAGCCAGTCGTGGGAAAGGCAGGAACTTTTCAAACCAGGAAGGATTCCGAAAGGGGGAAAGAGGCTGATGTGCTGAGGGGAGGTGAGAACCCGAGAAAGGAGCCAGTGAGGGCGGGGAGGGGCGCGGGCAGTTCGGCGGAGCCTTGAGCGTTGGAGCAGCACACAGCCTGGGCATCCTCCTTGGCACGGTCTAGGAAAGGATTGCAGGGAGGCCAGTGTGTGGGCAGGACGAACCAGGCAGAGGATGTTGCAGGAAATGGTGACAGTGGAGGTGGAGAGAGTGGATCTCGTCCAGGCACACTTGGAGGGAGCCATGCGAGGACTTACTGAACTGAGGGGTGGGGAAAGAGAATCAAGAACGGCTCTCAGGTTGGAGCTGGATCCACTGAAGCCAGTTACAGAAATGAGGAAGACTGGGGCAAGAGGGCAAGATTTTAGGACAGAACCCAGTTCCCTTTAGGAAATACGGCGTTTGGAAACTCAGGAGCCTGCTGTGGGACGGCCAGCGGCAGCCCTTGCCCAGACTCACTGGGGACCGCCGAAGTTCCGGGGACCCCACAGAGCCTGGGGCACAGAGGTGCTGCAGTGCTGGGGGTGAGTGCCCAGGAGAGAACAGAGCAGAGAGCAGCATTTGTCTCCAGCGAAGATCGAGCATGTGAAGTTGAATGTCTGCAGCTCATGATCCGAAGGAGAGATGTCCCCCAATCCGGAAAACCTCTCGGCGAGCTTTCGGCATGGTGCCTGCCGTTGGTCCCACAAAGAAGAGTCCCTGTCCCCACGCCACTGGGACGGAAAGCAGATCTGAAAGCGCGCGTGTGCCTGCCAGCTGGGTGCGGTTCAGACCTCTGCAGGCAATCAGGGGCCTCCTCGGACCTCGGGTCCTGCCCACGACTGGCTTCATGTTAAGAAAAGCAAATTTCTTCTGTGATCACTGGTGTGTCAAATCCACAAAGTGTGCTCCGGGACTCCCTGGGCTTCTGGGGTCTGGGACGGGTGAGGAGGGTTACCGGAACCCTCCTTGTTCCCTAGCCAAGCCCAGGGGGAAGTGAGAGCCCTGAGCCCACAGGCTACTCTTTTTCGGACATGGCAGGAGCGACTCAAGTCTAAGGCCCTTCGGTGGGAGTGCCACAGAAATCCCGTCACTGGACAGCCGGGGTCACACCGGTCCCATTCCTCAGCCCTGGGCCTCTCCGTCAGCTGCTATGATTTGGCTACTTCTCAGTTCAGCCCAACAGTGCACTCTCTCTCCATCAGGATGTATGGAATCTATTTATTGCCACTGTTCTGTGCCAGCGAGACTGTTTAAAACACTGCGCAACACCACCATTTCCTCCTGTGACTGTGGTATTCTCATCGGCCATGGGCGACCCAACGCCCAAATGGACAAAAATGGAACTCCAGCCACAGCCTGCAGCAACCTGCCCAGGGCCCCCACTCTCACCGACAGTGACCAG